AACGATGTGTGGCCGGATTCGGCTAGTTATTATTATGACTATGATTAGGCAATCACCTACACTACTGCGTGACCACATCGCCCTCTCGGTCTTGTCCACATGTTATGGGGATTAAAGGTCTTATCCCTTTCCACGATCTCCTCATCTTTAAAGTGGTTTGCATCTCTTCTTTGACGTTCTTCCTTTTGTCCATGTTTTACGTGAGAAGAATCTACCACTGCTTGCTCAACATCAGCATAGAGGGCGTGTGACCTTCATTGCAAATTCCCATGTTTTCCTCGTGCGTCATGTCCACTTTCTTCGTGTTTCCTGTTTTGAATGTGCCAAGTTATCAGGATTTGCTGTGCATACTGCCCTCATCTAATAATACCTTTCCGGACTTCCTATGAAGTCTTATAGATTTAGCCTGGGCCTGCACTCAGAGGTATACTCAGGTGTTTACGAATTCAGGTCCAAGCTCAATAAATTAAAAATACAAACGCGTTCTATTTTTGAAGGCTTCAATCTACCTTTTATTTGGGATTTTGCGTTCGCCCGCATTAGCATTTTTATACTGTGCTAACCTAACTGTTACAAATTTGAAAGGCCGGGAGTGCTACGGCTGTTCCGGCTGCTGCGCCCATTGGTAATTCTGCGGCTTGAATTTTTCAATCAGGAAGGCTAAATACATTATAATCAAAAATTCCATAAATATTCAGACTTAGGGTTAATTCATTTTTGGTATTTTTCGGGTTGGATTCTTATCTTGCTGACACTCTAATGTCGAGACTTTCTTTATGACCAATTTATTGTACCTGTAGGGGTAAGTTTGCATACGCGTAGTTGGAAATAAGTTTACCATTTAACTGACCAAACCGTAATGCGGAGAGTAGGCGTGTTTTTAAGAAATACGCATCCTATATGTACTATTTACACTAGTGCACGGATGTATCTGGCTGGGAAACTTCCACTATTGCGATGTTCTCATAACCGTAATTGTAGGATTAATAAGCCGGGTGGTTTCTTAGCTGTTCGCTTTCAATGTTCCAGTCACTGGCCATCTCGATACGGATTGCTTGCCAAAAAATGCAATAGAAATCCCGCTGTAAAATTATATAGCAAGACTTCAAAAATGCGCACTGTGTCAGCCGTACCCTACATACTACAGCCATTATTCATCGGTGTCCCTCAAACGCAACCACAGAATTCGATTGGCAGACGCAGCCCTTTCCTTGCGACAATTGGCCACCGTTCTTGCAAAACGGCATCGTTCCTCATGTAC